CTTAGCTCATGTATTGGTCTCCCCATTAATACAAATTTGTTGTTATCTTACATTTGGTAAAATAACTGAAAATAAATAAATGAATAAATAAATAAAAATAAACTTTAATTAAAAAGCATAATTAAATTAAAGCTAAAACAGAGGAATCAGACGGTTTCAAAACGAGTGTTCGGGTGTTTCTCTCAAATCGCCGAAACGATAGTTTCCCCCGTGGGGTCGGTCGTTTTAATGATTGATTGATTCTTCATAATAATAATAATAATAGTAATACGCCATTTGACATGCTTGCACCATTAAGAGCGTGAAAAATATTATAGTTATTAAGGTAGGCTAAAAGTACGGGCCATTGTTGGCCTATGGATAATAACAGGGCGTGTGCACCGATGAAGGCTCACTCATTGTTTTGTTTACAAAAACGATATTCTTTTATTTTAATGAGACTGACCCAGGCTAGCGCTTCACTGGTTAATTCGAAAGTATTAGGAATGAATGACCCACAATTAGGAAAAAAATGAAATGATAATAATTTATTTAGAAACCGAACTTGTTTGTAGCAACACGTCCAAATGAAATGTGCGTCCAAAGAAATGACATAGACCTAGTGAAAAAAAAAAGATCACAAAACAACAAAATTTTCTATACCAAGAATAAACGAAAAAGCTTCGTTGCTATTTATGAGTTAGCAATACGCCTACATTCGATATGCTGCTCAATGATGCTGATCCAAAGGATAGTTTACCGACTCAACAATTGATAATGATTGTTGATTAATTCGATATTTAATTGTAAAAAAAAAAAAAAAAAATCAATTTTAAGTATAATCCTCCTCTATCCAGATGTTCCATGCAATTCGAACTTTTTCACTGTATTGATTATAGGCCTGCCTATTTTTTTTTAATTTATTTAATGTTTAAAAGGGTACCTTTCCAGCTCTTCGAATGGAAGCTGGTATTCTGACCATCTTTAGTAAAAACTAAACAAACTAATATTTTGATACAAAAATAAGTAGAATAATAGTTACATATAGGCCTAAACAATGAAAAGTCAGTGAAAATCTTAATATGCATTGAATATATAAATATTTACTACAGTAGAACCCCTATTAAGGGGACACCTTCGGGACCAAAAAAGTGTCCCCTTAATGGGGGTGTCCCCTGAATAGGGGTACCCTGTTTTTAGGTTGCAATGCAAATAGGTCTACAATTAATTTATAATATGAAATCAGCAGAAAATAATTAAAACAACAATACTGTAGTAAAATATGTTCCCAATAATGTTTCATTATGCAATTTTAATGACCAAATATTCTTTTTTTTTAATATTACGTTTTCTATGATCAAACAATTTCATAGTTTGAAATAGTATAGGCCTAATGTAATTAATAGGCCTATGTGTGTAATGTGTCACATATGAAATATCCTGAAAAGGTAAACAAACACTGGTTTATTTGTAACCTTTCAACTTTAAGAGATACATATTATGGGATGGTCCTGCGAAATAGTCTCGTGGACCGCTTGATAAGAGGGAGAGACGAGTCTCGGAGGACCGGTGTGAGCAAGCTGCATCTTGTGGTCTTACTATTAGATGGATGTGCATGAATAGAGTAGGCCTAATATTATGTAAACTAGATTAAACAGAATTGACCTTTTGTTTTTCATATTTTGATATTTATAAATGATAAACAGTTTTCTATTTTAATGTAAAGTTTTATCCTATTAAATTTCATAGTTAATGTAATTTTTTATAATGACTCTTGAAAATAATTACTTTCCATTTTGATGTAACTTTTTATTGTCACCCGGTGTAAATTGTAACTTGATTTGGCCACTGGCCACGACCTGTTACAAATGAGGAATTTGAATTTTGAATAAAGTCATGATACATAGGCCTATAAATGTTTTGATGTTTAGAGTCCTTGAAATACACAAAAAACAAAGAAAAAAAATCCAAATTTTTAAGGGAAGTGTAACCTTAATAGGGGTGTCCCCTGAATAGGGTTCTCCCAAAGGAGGGGTTCTACTTATTAGGCCTACTATAATTAGGCATATTGTCACGACACTAAACAAGACGAAATGGGGACCTAAAGCAATTATAGTGGGAATATAAATTAATGACACGTCATACGGTAGGCCTAGACCTAATATTTTTTGCGCAAGTCAAATCCAATTTGACCTCGTTAATTTTCTGATTGAAAACGTTGGTGAAACGATCAAGCACATAAAAACTGTAGGCCTAAGCGGAATATGACTTTTTTTCCGGTGAAAATAAAGGCCAGCTCCCCATGCAGAAAATATAAAATCGCCGTAGGCCTATTCAATGCAAATCATATTAGAAAGAGATTTTATTATCAGTGGACCTTTTATTGAGTTTATGCAAAATTAGTACTATTCTTCACAAAAGGTTGGGCTCGGGAAAAGAAAAGCGCAAATTCCAAATAAGGATACATTGATTCCTTATTAGGTCAGCCCGCGAAACAATTATGTATTTCAACCAATCATTAAGATTCAGAAACCCGTCTATGAATGGTGACGCTAAAGCTAATCGCATTGCCATTCTCTCTCTACAATTTGCGTTCATTTACTGGAGAAATATTTAGGAATAGAGGGGTGTTTTGGGTTTTAAAAAGTAGACTGCAGTTTCCAAGGTAAATTTCTTTCTTGTTATTGTTTCTTATTTCTCTATTACATAATTTGTGTTTCTTAACTGAATAATTATACAATTTTGTGTCGACTTTCTTGTATTTCTAATTGTATGTAAGCTCCGCGGAATCTTCAAAAATGCTAGGCTGGGAAAGCATGGGGCCGAGGTACGCGGAACGGTCTTGGTTTCCTTTGCGATCCATGAAAATATATTAGGTCAAAGACAATTTCCTGTTGTTTTTCAAACTTATGTAGGATTAGTTTGCTTTACAAATCGAACTAGGGTTTATATCCAATCTTAATTTTGTAGGCAACTTTAATTTGATTTAAAATACATTAGATATGAGCCCTGAATAGCAAATTCTTTGTTCTCTTCATTCGCATTTTTCGAACAAAGAAATATTTCCCGATTCAGATTGTCCAAAGCGCTTAGACTAGGCCCTACCTACCTAGGTATAGGCCTACCTAAGTATGTTGGGCAGTACGGTACCCGTTGCAGTATACCATCCTAGGTTATAGGCTAATCCTGTAATATAATAATAATAATAATATAGGCATATGCCTAGGCCCTATGCCTTCCTAAAAAACAGATGGTGTTTTGTCCATTAATCGAGAAAGCTGAGTGAGAGTGGTTCTGTCGTGAGGAAGGAATAATTTATGAAATTTCAATCAAATAATGATGAGCGACGTTTTGCTGTTGAAAATTTCTCCAAACCAGTATTATTAATAGATAGGTTAACCGTAATTTGCCTTGTTCTTTCAGATGTCGGAAACAAATGGAGATATTGCAAAAGATGAAGTAGTCGAAGAACCAACTGAACAGGAAGAACCAATGGAAACACAAGAATCTCAAGAAACTGAAGAACCTTTAGAAAAAACTGAAAACTATGATAAATTTCTTGGGATGGGTTACCCCCAGAAAGTTGCAGAGGAGATGGACAAATTCTTTTCCAATGGTATGTTATTTTAAATGAATACATTTTCTTTTGCCAAAATTAGTTAATTGTCAATATATTGATTGTCAATATATTGATTGTTTGTCCTCGATTGTTTATTATCTATAAATTTATATTCAGTAACTTGTTAATTCTTAAACTTGTTTATTCTCAATAACTTGTTATATTTTTTTTTGTTATATTTGATTTGGATTTAATTTACCATTTAATGATATAATTTAACATTCTTTTTTTGCTCGCAAAAAGGAATGCTTCAAGACGAGGAACTTGACGAGCGTGCATTAGATGCCCTGAGGGAACTGAACGAAACGGATGCAGTCGGTGTCCTGAAGCAGTTTTCTGACAGTGACTTAACCCATGTAAATAATAAAAGCGCATTCCTTTGTGGAGTCATCAAAACATACAGGCAGCGTAAAATCAAAGGTTCACAAACAGCTGTAGATAAGACGGGACCAGATGAGGCTAAAGTTCAGGTATGTATAATTTAAGTTGGCCGAAGATGCCCACTGTGTGGATGAAAGCTTTAGTGTATTAAATTTGACAGACACGGTTGTTCGTTCACCTTTTATCGTTGCATAAATTTGTGCCAAGTTTAATTCATATAATACACCTTCCTTTTCTCAATGCCAATAATTTTTACAGGCTTTCTCTTCATGTCATCTTATAATTTAACAATTGCTCATATTATTGTTGTTTGCAGGAATTATTAGCTAGTACAGGTTACTCACTTGATGTGACGACAGGTCAAAGAAAATATGGAGGACCACCACCTGACTGGGAAGGACCTGCTCCTGCCAACACGGAGGTAAGGGACAGAAAACATGCAAACAAAATATAACTCTTGCTATCCAAATGTAATAGTAATTTATAATAATAATAATAATAGTAACATCATCATTATTGAAATTAAAATGTTTCACTCATCCAATCATCAGTTATATATTTTTTTTCTGATTTAAATATCTTTATCCTCTCAGCTATTTGTTGGAAAACTCCCAAGAGATGTGTTTGAATATGATCTTGTCCCATTATTCGAAAAATGTGGACGAATCTGGGACATGAGGTTAATGATTGACCCAAATACACAGAACAACAGAGGCTATGCCTTCATATCGTTTTGTGATAAAGAAGGTGCAAAGAAAGCTGTAGCAGAGGTATGTACTAACAAAATATGGTGGGTTAGTTTATTGAAAAACATCATTGGGAGACAAAAGTAAAAAATGAGTGTTGTTAGTATTGATAGTGCAATTAATATTTTTAACATTTTGGAGGGGAATACAATCATTGTTTTGGTTTCAGTTGTTGAACATAATTTGCACAGCTTGACTTGGCTTTTATTGTCATCAATATTTCAATCATATATGTTCTTCTATATTCAAAGATAAAGAGTGTTATTGTTTTGTTGTTCACTAGTGATACTGCTGTAGGATTTTAGGTGCATGGTGATTTTTTTTTATATATTATACAGAGATGTCTGGCTACTAATTCTACCGCTGTTTAAAAATTAAACCATTTTCAGTCATTTGGTTTATCTTTTCTTTTTGTTTAAACAATTTGCATGTTATTTTTGGGCATGTTTGCAAGACTTGTATATGCATTGAAATCAGGTTAGTTTCTCATTAGCTTCTTTAAACACTGTTTCTTCCTAGAAGGAATACTAGAATAACATACTGGTTTAAAAGTAAGTTGAAACCAAATAGCCTGATTTCAATGTGTTTTTCCTACATCTTATGCAGTTGGCTAAAATCTTGATACCTGTGTAGACTTTTGAGGCGTGCTTGGGATACACACATATTGCACTGTAGCCCCACCCATAATGCATATCTGATTTGTATGTCAACACGTGTCAAAATTTTCATGAATGTTATCCCATAATTGGCTTTGAGAGTGATACCTGTATGTACAATATTCGGACAACAACAACAAAAAAAATACAAAATTCTACTGCTCCTCAGCTTAATGACTACGAAATCCAGCCGAATCGAAAGATTGGCGTCACTCGATCGGTGGCCAATTGCAAGTTGTATGTTGCACCCATACCAAAGTCCAAGACAAGGGAAGAGATAATGGAGGAGTTTAGCCAACATGCACGTAAGTTACAAGGATTGCAATGGCAGGCATCTCTCAAAAGCTTGAAAATATACAAAACCTGCACTGTACTGATTTCCCTAAATTATTTGTTTCAATTGATATTATAAACCTTAATGTTTAAAGTTTCAGTACAGCCTAGGGTATTAAGTATATTTTCAGGGTATGAGTTGAACCAACAATTATCGTTGCCATTTGGTACTATCTTCCCAGCTCAATGATCATGTTATAAGGGGAAACAAGGCTATTTGTGTGAAGCATTCCACTCCAAATGTGACTCTGTACGTTGGGTCAATTCCTAAGAATAAGACACAAGAAGAGGTCAAGGCTGAGTTTGAAACGCATGCACGTAAGTCATTTGTCTACACATCAAATATTGATGATTTTGTCCCATTTTAAACAATGCATTCAACATGAAGATGTGGCACCTACAATTTTTGTTTTCTAATATCCTTTTTTTCAAGGATTCCTTTTATAAATTCTTTCCTCTTGTAGCTGGTCTGCGAGATGTTGTAATATATCTGACTGAAGACCGTAGAAAAAATCGTGGTTTTGCTTTTCTTGAATATGAAACTCACCAAGCTGCGTCTACAGCTAAAAGGAAGCTGTCTACAGGGCGTGTGAAAGTGTGGAATGGAGTTGATATTACAGTTGATTGGGCAGACCCTCAACCTCAACCTGATGAGGAAACCATGTCAAGGGTTAGTAGATTCATTACCTGTTTAAGTAAAAATGCAGATGTCCTAGATAGTAATTGATCAGCAAGTGGATCTATAGTGTACTATGCATTAGATCGGACAGTCAGTCACGTTTCTGAGTAGTAGAAATCAACCCTGGCCATCAGGTGCAAGCTCGGTGGTCTAGAGGTATGATGCCAGGCTAGTTATCTGGAGATCATGGGTTCGAGTCCCACCCGAGAACAACTTGCGATTTTTTTCGCAGTTGTTTTCAAATGTACTGAATATTCGGTGCATTTCCACGTCAGGTAGGGCAAAAAAAAAAAAATTACACCTATACATGTTTCTCCTGACGCAAATCCAGTTATTGTTTATTATTCCATCACGACAATAACAATTACTATCAAATATTTTAGTGTTAAATGACCACTTTTGTTTTCTGTAGGTCAAAGTTGTTTACGTCAGGAACCTGACTGCTGAGGCCACTGAAGAGAAGATACAGGAGAAATTCAAGGATTTTGGTGAAATTGAACGTGTCAAAAAAATTAAAGACTACTGTTTTGTGCACTTCAAGGATCGTGATGCCGCAGAAAAGGCAATAAATGAAATGAACAATGAAACATTTGAAGGCAGTACCTTGGAAGTGTCTCTTGCCAAACCACCTCAGGACAAAGATAAGAAGAAAGAAAGGCAAATGAAAATGCACATGGACAAACAAAGGTATGTTTTATAAGTAGGTACTTGCAAACAATGTTTAGTGATGCAACAATGCTTCAGATTAAGTAAGGTTGGACATATTTTCCATTTCATCTCATAGGGTATTGCAAACTTGTGTTAATTAAAAGTAATGTTCAAAGTGCAAATTGTAAAAAGCATATGAAGTTATCGAGTAGTAAATATTTTTTTTCTCGTTCACAGGGGATATGGCAGAAAGCCGTTCTTTGAGTATGGGCCAGTACCATTCAGAGGAAGAGGAGGTGGACAAGGAATGCGTGGACGTCCTCCATTCATGGGAGGAGGAGGGGGTGGTGGAGGAGGAGGCTACAACTATTTTGGTGGAGGATATGAGGAGTATTATGGGAACGACTACCGTGGTGGGTATGATGACCCATGGGCTGATGACTATTACTACGATAGGGGTTATGAGTTCGGAGGCGGTTATGGTGGTGGAGGATATGGTCGTGGCCGTGGAGGCAGAGGTGGTATGGAAGGGCGAGGTGGTATGCGTGGGCGAGGTGGAAGAGGCATGGGGGGTGGTGGTGGTGGTGGACCAAGAGGTCGTGGTGGTCGAGGAGGTGCTGGTGGAGGTAGAGGTCAGAGAGGGAGGGGAGCCCGTGGAGGACGGGGTGGTGGACGAGGAGGTAATGTTTCTGGAAAACGCAAATATGATGGCCAACCCTCAGGTGATCCTAAAAGGGGGCGTACTGGAGGACAATGGGGTGCCCAACCAATTGCTCAACAGCCACTTGGAGGAAATGACTATTGGTACAAAGACACATACGCCGGTGGATGGAATTAGTAATTTTTTGTGAATATTTGGATGTCAGTATGGAGAATGGCTGGACAAAAGGTGAAGACCTTTTATTTGTGTGGTTTGTAGCTTTTGTCCTACACACCTCCCCACCTGAAATTTTTTATACATATGAACTCCAAATTACTGTTCTTAATCATTGCCATGTAAATATACCCAGAATCAATGTGAACTTTTTTCAACAAGAACATTTCTATCACAGAGAAATAAGGACCATGAGGATAAAATTTACTTTGATTTCAGTCTTGAAAAAACAAACAACCATTATATTGAATAATGCTCAACTTGAATATAATTCATTGGACTTCTAACACGATTTAGTTGGCTACATGCCATTTTGTTATCTATGTAACATTTTAAGTGTTTATATGGTTTTTTTTTTCTATGAAAATTAATTTCTTGTAAACTTATGATATATATTACATTGTAAAAGGCATGAAAGAAAGGTCCCTTGATGTGGCTAAATGATGTCATAGAATGGGAATCCAATCATTTTAATGCGACAACGCTTTAATTTTAGACTAATTTTATCCAAATTTAGTGCAAGTAAAATTTAGTTGTAAAGATAAAAATGTAGTTTGGTGTTTAAACATTTTTGGCTTTGTTTCTCATTGATGTCAGAAAAAAAAATAATTGTAAAGTTGTCAAATTGGTGAATAAATCCTCGGTAGTAAATCTGCTTTGCTAGAACTCAAAATTTACAAATGTCTCCATTGTTTTTTTCAAGGTGTCAAATTTTGAATTTCAAGATCTGTACTAAAAGATGAAACTAAACAATTTACCATTCAAAGCAGATTTTTTAATCAAAATTTTCTATGTTGGTTTTTCTTTATGTACACATTTGCCAAAACAGTAGCTTTAGACAAAATCAAGTATTTTGCTGTGTTTTCAGTCCAAACTGACATCATGTAATTCAGTGTTATCTTAAATGTTGCTTGCCATAGAATGTTGTATGTTTGTACTAACATTTATCCCTTTTCTTTTTTTTCCTTTCCCCATTGCTGAGCCAACTGGAATTCATCCCCAAATCCTGTTGGGTCAATAAGTACTGTAATTAATAAACAAAATCCTTTAAAAGTAATTGCATGATAAATCAATCTTTTATCAGATATGTTGTTAAAAAAGTGGGCTACCAAAAACTTGCCCAATCTTCAAATTTAGAATAGTAAAAATTGTTTGTTGTATCTGTTAAGGTAAGATTGTAACTTAGTTACAAATTTCCAGCAATGGATTCCAAGTTCTCAAGTGCAATATTATTTATGGACAATATTCCAATGTTTTGGATCTCGATCAAGAACTCTGAACAAAAAATAAGAGTGAAAATACTCACCGGAAAAAAAATTGGATTTGCTGTAATATTTATTAAGTGAGGACAATTCCTAATTTGGTGAATTTATAGGCTTTTTGGTTACCCTTGATGTTGGCTTCTGTGTGAGAATATCACAGATCCAGATCTACAGGTACCAGTAGCCGGAGACCAGACTGCCTGGATAGATGATCAACAACTACTCTTGGACAGCCTTGGATGATTCATCAACTGACGACGACCATCGCCGGTGACGCCATAATATTAATAACGCCATGTTTTAATATTTTTTAATTGAAACTTAAAAAAGAAATTTATGATTGCTGATAATTTACATCAACTGATTCCCCAAGATTTTAAGAGCTGTATGTAAAACCAACTTCCATGATCAAGAATTTTAACCCTCAAGAAATAAAACAAAATTCATCTCTTCAGCTCTCAAGAAAGAACTGGATCAAAGTCTTCTGTGCATTGCAGTCAATTTTACTGCAAGAAAATTTAGTTGAAGAAGAAATCTTTTATTTAATACTGGAACTTTGCTGATACATGGCATAAAAGCTCTTGAACAAATTTGTAAAAATACAATAATTTTTATCCAAGAAAGACCTATCATTGGTACCATGGATTTGGATGGCAGTTTATGTTTGAAGAGACAGTATTTGGCAAGATAAATTACAACTTTATTATGATGCCTTATCAATCCTAATAAGTTTCTATGATGCAACAATTTACAAGTTCACTCAATTTGCCAACTCTCAAATCAGCCAGAATTATTTTGCTTTCGAAAAAATGGAATGGATTGGAGTTAATGAATGCTAGTGTTGTTGGTTTACTGCAAATTCTGGAATTTGTCTCATGACTAAAATCAACTCCAATCTTTTTATGGTACAGTACTTAAATTACACAGTATATATATCGATTCTGCTTAACGCTCTATGCGAAGTCTTTAATGGGTATAGACCTTTCCAGAGTGTCAAACTTAACTGACCATTTAAAACAAGGCCTGGAATATGTGCATGTCCTATAAATGCACATTTTTACATGCATTCACACTATCGTTTTGTGGAATCCTAGCAATAATATCCAAAGGGGCGGGGTTTAGCAGTAAGGTCCATTCACATCATCCCAGCATTTAAATAAAACTTCTTGGAGGTTATTCCATACTGTTCCCCTGGTTGACATCTACAGTATACTGTACACAGGATCAGCCTATTAATACACAAGGTTTAAATGCGACGATAAAGTCTGGTTGTATGTATGTATGAGCAAAGGGAAATTTCATCTATCCCCCTCCCCACACACACATTTTAAGACCAACATCTGATATTTTGAAAGTTAAAATATATTTAAGCTAATACCATGGCCGGGGCCACCACTTTTTGGCAGCAAAATATATAATGTCCATGCACATTTTTGTATGATCGGAAAGAAATGCAAGAAAAGAAAGAGTGGGGGCTCCCCCCCCTTT